GGGTGAGATGGATTACTACAGTACCTGGGGCCATGGGGGTTATGTGTCGAAATTAGTGAGACTGGCTCAGGACAGTGAAGGGTTCAGAGCTTCTGTACATAAGGTCATTATATATTGCAGGTGACTAAATGCCACATATCATACTATGACAGGTTTGGAAGCAGGAGTGGCATCCATTTCCTAAATAACATGCCTCTGGAAATTCCATGAACCTTGATAAAAGTCTGTCATTGTAGAGGGGCTTCAGGCCTTTTGTTCATAGGGTCACCATGTGTTGTGCTCGTCTTGAAGATAATCAACAACAACATTATCCTAAGACCTGTTATTTAAAAAATTTAGGGCTATCATAGTTAAAATAATGCTGTGGTATCTTGTGTTAAAACCTTACCTAGAGCAGCTGAGCTTCAAACATTATAAAAGAGCCAAACAATAGAACTCAAAATGGCATTGGCCTTCGCTTTAAATGAAGGTTAAGCTCATCTGTAGTTTCTCTCTGAGGCTCGATGGAATGCAACCTGTTTTTCATTAGTACTCCTCATAGATGCAGTAATTTTAATTTCTTAAGTGTTTTTCTTGTAATTGAAAATTACACTAATTGAAAATTAGACTATCTTTTTTTTTTTTTTTACATTTTTGTGGCTCTTTCTTTTCTCCCCCTTTGAAGCTGAGTTTTAAGCATATTTTTTGAGTACATTAAGCTAATGAAGTATCAGTTTTTTAATCTCCATACTAACAAAGCTCTCACCATTTTAGTCGTTTATGTCCATTTAGCTTTGAGAAAAAGCATTAAACTACTAAGAATTGTGAGGATAGCGCAGAATAGGGCAAGATTCAGACCTGTTCATAGGACCTCTATGAATCATAGTCAATTTGATGGCACCTAATAATAAGAAGAATGTAATGTGATAATTTTATAGTAAATACTTAGATTTTTTAATTAGTAGAATAGCTTTATGTGTATATAATACTTGACCAAAGATGTAATATTATATCTGATAACAGGAAAAAGGTTAAAATAAGAAAAGAAGAAAGATTAGCATAAACCCTGTGATGTTGGATTAGAACCTTAAGTATAAGTATTGAGCTGATAAATTTTTTTTAAAAAATAGATATACAGGTAGAAAAATAAAGATATATGTGCACATATGCAGTAATTTACATACTGAGGCTTTCTACCTTTGTTGAGAACGCCTGGAAAATAATGACACTTTATGAACAATGAAGACACCTAGCATCCATACCTGAGTTTTAGACACTCATTCTTCAATAAAAAACTGAGGATCCTTGGAAGAGTGTTTAATTCCAAGGCTAGCACAGGAGAAATACAAATAACTTGTAGTGTCAACATTAGCAAGGGCTCAGGAAAAGGACAGGGGCATGTCAAAAGAGCTCAGGAAAATGGAAGAACTTCCCTGAGCTCAAGCTAGAACACTTTGAATAATCAAATCAGTGATAGTAATAGCTGAATTTATTGTCAGGTCAGAAAGGAAGGGGCCACTGGAATTTACAGCTGGCATCTTGAGGGGATAGTGAGAAACCTCAAACTCATAGTCAATAGGTCAGAGGTGAGAAACTCTCAAGCTTGTGGCTCTATCTGAAGTTTGGGGTAGACATGACAGCCTGGGGGGTTGGGTCCTTACAACTTGTGAGATCTGATCTAACCCTGGTGGTGTGAGTCAGAGGGAAAAGTAGTGCATTAGTGCATTTACAGTTGATGTCAGAGATGATATTTAGATTGGATTGGTGTAGTCAGAGAAGGCACATATGGACACGGAGAGAGACATCTACAGGCAGTATTGAGAAGACATTTTTAAATTTTTGAATTGTGAATACTCAGATGCCTGGGGTAAATCTTGCTTGACCATGTTTTATTATTCTATTACTGCACAACAGATTTGATTTGTTAAATTTATTTAAAGGTTTTTACCTGTTCATAAAATCTTGTTGTTTGTGGCTGTGGGATTGTGTGTGTACACATGTTTATGTGCATATGCACATGTAACCGGGTTTTGGGTTCGCTATTAGAATGAACTTTACTCTGAACAGAATAAAAGTTTTAATAGCTTATAGCCGAACTCACCCAAAAGTCTGGGCCTTTGGATGGAAATATTTGGCTTACATTTTCCCCTTTTGTTGTTATTGCTTACTATGGTTATTCTTTTATAACTTTCTGTAACTGTATATAATCTCAAAAAGCTGAGCTCTGGTGGCATAGTCTGTAGGGAGTTGCACTGCTGTCCCTCTCTGGTTGCGTGAATCTATCAGAGGAACAAGGGCAATGTCCTCCCTGGCAATTTACAGCCTCTGAAAAGCTGCAGGATTAGCTGAGTTGGTTCCGAATTGACAGCAATGAGTTTGTATTATAAAATACTTATCCATTTCATATAGATAGGGTTTTGAGTCACTTATTATTTTATATTGGCACAGGATAGGGCAGGGTTTAGGGATGTGTGCATAGGGTTGCTATGAGTCGCAGGCGACTCGACGGCACATAACAACAATAACAGCAACAACCACCACCTTAGTTTATATAACATTTTCATGTAATTTCAAAGAATACCTTTTATATCAGCAATTAGATTACCCTTTTTATTCTTAACATTGTATTAAGTCTTTTTATCTTGTTGTTATGTGGTGTTAAGTTGCCTGCGACTCATGAAAAATACCTCTCAGTTATTTTATTGACTTTTTTACAGACTTAATTTTTTAGGCTTGCTAGTTTGTTTTTTTAATCAACCTTCTTTCCTAGTTTCTATTTTGTTTCAAATGCATCTTGATTTAAATGATCACATCAACACTGAGGATTTTTTCCTCTTTAAAAACTCTTTCAAAAGGATAAAAACTTATTTTGAATAATACCTTGATTGCATCACAGGTGTTTTGATATGAAGTGTCTTAATTGGTTAGTATTCATCTCTAAAGAGACCTGTGATTTTAGTTTTGATTAGCTATGTAATCTGAACATTACTTAGCTTTGTAAATAGGTAGGTGGACCATTTTATCAAGTCTCAGTTTTGGTGTACACTGACAGATAATATGGTCTATTTAATTATTTCCTTTTGGAAACTATTAGTTCTTTTTTGTGACCTGATATTCTTTGTTTGGGTCCAAGGTCCATCAATAACTATTATTACAAAACTCATTAATTATTTTTATTCTCGATCACAGTGGCATCATACTTGAAGAATACATATGCTTCAAAATTTATTTCCCTATTCTCTATTGTGCTGCAAACTCACAGGTGCTTGGTTTGAATCTTCCAGCTGCTTCTTGAGAGAAGGATGGGCCATCTCTGAATTTTTGATCTCTGAAAACCTACAGTTGGGTCATTTATGGGTCGGTTCCTATTCAAGAACAATGAGCTGAATTTTGTTCAGTTTTGTTCTTCTAAAGATGAACATGTGGCTTGTTTATGTATTTTTGACCCACATTTTAAAAAAAGTTGCCTTGAACACTCTGGTATTTATATATTTAGTTTAAAAGTGAATATAAATGTAGAGTAGGTTTCTAGAAAACACACAGGTAGACGCGTGCGCGCACACACACACACACACACACACACACACACACTTGGAATAATTCTATGTGTTCATAGATTTAATTACTGTATATTATGCAAATAACATGTACCCATCTACGTTTGTTTCACAACTACTACCTGTCACTGGGAAGCCTTTTCAGAAGTAAAGCTGTGGCAACTTTTACATGGTCTTTAAAAAAATTAGCACATCAGGTATACAAAAAGACCTGGATAAGACAATGATTGGCAAACCTAGAAAGTGTGTTTGTGTAAAAACAAAGTATATACACAACAATGAAAGAATTATAAATTCCCAATTTTTAATGCCATTAGAATTTGAGTAAAATAACATAGCATCAAAATGCCTTTTTAAATTTTTTTTAACGTCCACCTAGTCCCTGTCCTCAGAGTTAGTATTTGTGAATTTAATATAGGATTCTGAATGTAGATGATAGTTACTACTTTTTTTAATTGAGATTTTAATGAAGGTTTATGGAGAATTTGATTTCCATTCATTCATTGTTGCCAGTTTTCCTCCCTACCCCGCTACCCCCCTGTTAGCTTTTTTCCTTTGGAAAAGATTTCTTTCATTATTATACAGTCCCCCCTGCCCAGTTCACTTTACTATACAGCTCTTAGTCTGAACTCTTTTTATGCCAATAATACTTCATCATATATTCCTTTTAAACAGTTGTCTCCCTCATCTGTTTCAATGCTGTGTGCACTATTTATCCCCTCTTTATTTAGTTTCCCCGAACCTTCATGTCAGTCCTGTTTTATAACAGTTGCATAATACAGTATTTGTCTTTTTGTCACTGAGATATTTAATAATGTCCTCTATGGTCACCCATTTTGTATAATATTTCATGAGTTCTTTGTTTTTCAGTCCTGCATAATATTCTATCATGTGAATATACCATAGTTTCTCTATCCATTTGTTTGTTGATGGGCACTTGGGTTGTTTCCAAATCTTTACTATCGATAGTTGTTGTTAAATGTTGTTGAGTCTCAGGTGACTCATAGCGACCCTATGAAGGAGAGTCCTCAATACTTGTGTGTCTCTCATCTTCTCTCCAGGTTCATAGGGTTTCTGGAAGCAAGCTATTACGGAAGTGGATGCCGCTCCCGCTTCCAAATCAATAGTTACTACTTTAAAATTTTTTTTTGTATTCTCTTTTGATATTTACATTAGAAATATTCGTTTGTTACCTATTTATTTTTAGCAGTAAATTTTGATTTACTATTGGTTAACTAGTCTCTTATGCTCCACCAGTTCCTCTATTATAACATACCTTGCTAGTGCTTATTTTGAGTCATCTCTTGTTTGGTGGCATTATTTAACTTTTCCCAAAAAGGTCATGCGTGTGTGTTTTTTGTCTTTCCCTATAAATGACATTTCTGTGGATATTTTTTTGAATTATGCGTATGATTTTGTTCTTTCTCTCTTGAGGAAATTGTTTTGTTTTATTTTGAATTTCAGGTTACATTTATAGGCATGCCCAGCAACCTTTGGTTACCTTTGGAAAATACAATGTGATTGACAGTCCAAAGAACATAGGAGGATCTCGTTCTTCGCTGCTTCTGAAGATTCATGGCAAGTTACATCTACTATTATTATAACTCTAGGAAATGTATTTATCTTATGACTCAATTCTCATGAGATTTGGAACAATGGTGGAAAGAGTTTAGCAGATGTTCAAAAATCTTACATTTTAAACAATGGAATTTATAGATATTGTTGATATTAAGGTCTTTAATAATAATAATAATGATAATTATTATTATTGTTGTTGTTGTTGTTGTTTATTAAGAATGGAGGTTAGGGCTATGCCAGTAATTTTAACCTGAGTTATGCATGAAAAAGGAACTCTAATGGTGCGATAAATTAAGCATTGGACTGCTAACCAAAAAGTTTACAATTTGCATTCACCAGTTTTTCTGTAGGAGAAAGTTGAGACAGTCTGTTTTTATAAAATTTACAGCCTTGGAAACTCTTGGTGCAGTTCTCTGTCCTTTAGGAACTTTATGGGGTTTTAATGATACCATTTTTATAAAAGGTTATATGAGGTGCAATAGTTTGGTTTTGAGAATATAGCTATGGTGTTTAAGGTTGTACAAGGAACTCAGTGCTAAGATGGCATACACTTAAATGTGAATTTTCATTTAACTGGATTATTTTAGTTTGGAAGAGCAGTAGTCTGAAAACAAAGCTCTGATTTCCTCTGGTCTGGTTTTATAGATGGAAGATGATTTTGTTTGAAAATGATCCCAGCTTATTGTTAGAAAAAGCAGATTTAAAAGTAGTGAAATAAAAAAAAAAAAAAGAAATAATGTAGTCTATGCTGTACTCTCTATCAGTGTTTCATTGACTATGCAAAGGCATTTGACTCTGTGGATCACAACAAATTGTGGCTAATACTGAGAAGAATGGGAATCTCAGAATACTTGATTTTTCTGGTGAAAAAGCCTATACCTAACCTATACCTATACTTCTGCAAACAGAGCAAGGAAACACTGCATGATTTAAAAATCAAGAAAAAGGTATGCACCACGGATGTATCCTTTCTCTATACCTATCCAATCTGTATGCTCAACAAATCATTTGAGAAGCCAGACTTTATGAGGAAGAATGTGGAACTGAGGGTTATTAACAACCTGCATTAACCTTATGACAAACCTTTTTTGCTGAGAATGAGGAGAACCTGAAGTACTTTCTAACAGAAGATCAAGGACTATGGCCTTCAATCTGGATCACACCTCAACATCTAGAAAATAAAAGTCTTCACTACTGGGCCATTAGGCAACATTATGATGGAGGAGAGATCAAAGTTGTCAATGGTTTAATCTTTCTTGGATCCACAGCCAACACCCTAGGCACCAGCAGACAAGAAAAAAGATGAGTTACATTGGAACATCTGCTGCCAGAGACTTCTCCAGAGTACTAAAGAGCCATGATATCAGTTTGTTTATTTTTTTATAAAATTTTATTTATTTTAATGAACATTTACAGAGATTTTGGGTTTTTATTCATTCATTGTTGCACTATTTTCTCTGCCCTCCCCCACAGTTCGTTCCTCTTCCCCCTCCCCTTGAAAGTCTGTTTTAATTGTCCCATTGGCACAGTGTTTGTCAAAGCCAGTTCTGATTAATCTCCTTTGTCAGTGTGTCCTTTGCCATTCACTATCACTCCTTTCTGAGAGAGACTTCACCCTGATTCATAAGGAAAAGGGGACGGTGTATTCTCTTACCTACTTCCTGCTGAAAAGGGATGCTGTAGGTTTCAGGGTGAAGATCTTCTCTCACTACTCTAAAGGGCCCCTTTGGCAGTAGGAAACACATAGACTATTGTGGAGATTGATTTTGGAATTTAGATGCACTGTTATCAATTGTGCTTAGCCGTACATGTTCATATCCTTGAAGATGTATCATAGAACTGTTGCAGCTGGCCTTTCTCCTGACATATATGATATCAGTTTAAAGACTAAGGTGTGCCTGATCTAAGCATGGTCTTCTCAGTTGCTTGCTAGGTGTCTGGAAGTTGGACAGTGACTAAAAACGACAGAAGATGCAGTGATGCTTTTGAGTTGTGGTGTGGTGTTGGAGAAGACTATGGAATATCCCATGAACTGTCAAGAGAACAAATAAGTCTATTGTGGAGAAAGTGCAACCAGAGCCCCTCTTGAAAGCAAGGATGATAAAGCTTCACCTCACCTACTTTTAGATTGTTGTTAGGAGGGACCAGTCTTTAGACGAGGACATCATGATTGAAAAGATAAAGATAAGCATGGGAGAGTGTAGTTTCCCATATTTTGGGTTCACAGGTCACAAAAGGCAGAGACAACTGAGAGATGATTGAGTGCGAAGGGCTATGGCTCTCTCAGGCAAATAGCACCCATTTAAAGCTGAACCTCCTATTTATTGTGAAGCTACAGTTACTAAAAATAGCACAGGGAAGAAGCATATGCAGAGGTGCATGTACACAATTTTCAGGGTACAGAAAATGTTTTCACTCAAGCAAGTTATGACTACCCAAGACTGTGTTCTTTCACTGTATCTTAACTCAAGAATGTAATGGTTAAGTAAGTCTAATAAAGGACTGTTGACTCTAAATATCTAGGGGATGTGCCAAGACTGTTTGCAGCCCCAGGATTCCAGCCTTGGAAATATTGCATAGCCTCAGTACTTAACTCAGTCCTTAACCTTTTTAGGGGTAAATGGCTCAAAGAGTGCTGACACAGAGCAGTTCCTAGAACAAGATCAGAGCTGCCTTCAGCCTCGACCTTCCTAAGGGTCCCTAGCATTCAAGAACCTCAGGTATTTCTGGAACATTTCCTTGTGCAGAAGCCTCCTCAGTATTGCCATTAACCCTTCAGGGATCCTTCAGGAGAGGAAGACACTCAACAAGATGGATTGACACAGTAACAGTAGCAATGGGTTCAAGTGTGTCAGAGATGGTGAGATGGTACAGGAGAGGGCAATTTCAGGTCCCTTGTTCATAGTGTTACTATAAGAGCTACTTGACATGATGGCACCCACCACCACCACAAATACTATACTATTGTGAACTGTTTTTATTTTGTGAGTATTTTACTTATTTTGTATGATTTCTTTATATTCAGCATAGTTAGCAGTAGAGTTCTGGTCAAATGCCATAAAATTTTAAGCTTGAAGATAACATTATAGTTAATATATTTGTACTCATGATGTTGGGGGCAGTGGTGGAAACCTTACCTTTCATGCAGTAGCTCTGAGTCTAATAATACATGACCAGTGCTGCTTAAACACAGCCACTACTTTTCTGCCAGTAGAGGCCTGTATGCTGCTGGGATGTGGGACAGATTTTAACAAAATTTCCAGAGGAAGACAGATTAAGAAGAAAGACATGGTGGTCTACTTATAAAAATTACTAACTGTTGACAATTCTGATCACAAGGATTTGGTCCCTTTGTATATTGCATCATCATAAGTCAGAGACTTACAATACAACAGCCAGCAACAATTCCTTGATTTATAACTTTGGATTCAGAAAGACTGTTCCTATTTGCCCCCCCCCTTCTGATTAGGTTGCAGTATGAGAAGACTCTGAAATAGCCACACTAAGTAGACAACAAAATGCTTTAACAGCACAGTTGCTAAAGCCATAATAACTTAAAAGTCCTGATTTGTAACCTTGGGCAAATTACTTCAGTTTTCTGTGTCTTTGTTTCACCATCCAGGAAAGCCAGAATAATAACTGTAGTTGCTTTATTGGAATGAGATGGCTCTGGTGATCTGGTGGGTAAGGAAACATACTGCCAATACAAAGGCAGGCAAGCAGTTTGAATCCACCAGGGGAGCAAGTTGAGCAATCTCCTACTGTGTGACTTAGGGCCACTGACAACCTGCTAGAGGGTCAGCTATGAGTCAGTTCTAAACCTGTGACAATGAGTGAGTTAATAGGAATTGCTTTACATAAAATACTTAGAGATAGTATTTGCCACCTAACAGAGCTGTGGAAGTATTTGCTATTAGAAGTAATAATTGTGGTGGTAAAAACCATGATGTGCATCATCTTTTTAGATTTATCTTTTGAATTATATGAATGCATTTTTTTTCCTGAATTTTTATGTCTTCTAATCATTTAACTTTGGCCTTTGATGAAATTTCATCTTAATCAAGGTGCATTCTTACATCTAGGTGCCTTAATGTTTGTGGCGTGGATGACTACTGCTAGCATTGGCGTATTGGTTGCCCGGTTCTTCAAACCTGTTTGGTCAAAATCTTTATTCTTTGGTGAAGCCTTGTGGTTTCAGGTAGGTATTTTGGGGAAGAAAAGTTTACTGCAATTTCCATATGATTTGAACTTTACAAGCACAAAACCATACGAAGTAAGCATTCTTGATGCAATTATATCTATGGTAGGTATGGGATTCCAATTCTTCTTTTCTCTGTGACATCATAATCAATTGAGAACAGACAACATGCTTGATGGAGTTCAAAATGCAGACCACTTTATGAAATCTCAAGCTAGACTGGAGAATGTATGAGAGACATGTGTGACCCTTTGTAACCTAACTGTGGGACTCAGATGACCTCATTGTGCCTTAAGTCTAGTTGAAGAGGGAGATGCTGGAAAAGCATTCACCCATAGCACTGAGTACAAAGTAACCCAGGAAGGCAACAGAGCAGAATAAAGACATTTAGTTCCTGAATGTCAGACTGCCCTTAGCTCACCAGTGAACATCAGCTGTTTCATGTGTGGGTGGGAAGAGTAGCTGCAAGTGTTCCTTTTCATATTGTCTCTTCCTGTGAGAGGAGGTGGCAGTCTCCTCATAGAAACATGAGCATGAATGAATACATGTTCTTCAAAAAAAGCAACACAGCCCCTATCCTTCATGTGCCATGGAGTACAGATGCCCGTACAGATGGTGGAAGATCAATGAATATGTGTTGAATTAGAAAGTAAACTTCTGCTTATAGGAAAAAAGTATTGGAAAAATAAGCAAAAGTATTGGAAAAGTATAGACATTGAAAAAAGGAATTCATAGGAATTTGTGGCTTTTCAAGTTTGTTGTATTTAGTCTCATTTCTCACTCTTGACTGACAGGGTCAGTTTTTATTTGTTCTCCCTCCAGTGCCACCTTATTCCTCCTCTCTGTCTCTGCTTATACTCTTTTTCTTTTTTTATCTGCCTATGTGTATGATCTCAAATAGAAGATTGTTATGACTCCTCCTGATCAATTCACACCCTCCTCTGTCTTTAACACTGTCGTATAAGTATAGGGGGACTATGTATCCTGCACAGGAAGAATAAGGATGTCAGTTTAAAGACGAAGGTGCACGTGATCCAGGTCATGGTATTACAATTTTATTTGCATGCACCTGAAAGTTGGATGGTGAATAAGGAAGACTGAGGAGGAATCTTTGCTTTTGAATTGTGATGTTGCTGAAGATTATTGAATATATCACAGACTGCCAAAAGAATAAACAAATCTGTTTTGGAGGAAGTGCAACCAAATGAATTCCTTAGAGTCAAGGATGGTGAAAAACTGTCTCAGATCCTGAGGTGGCATGCTGTCAGGAGGGGCCAGGTCTTGGAAAAAAGACATGTTGAGAAAGGTAGGTCAGTGGAAGAGAAGATAATCCTCAATGAGAGGGAGTGACACAGTGACTAGTAATGGCAGAGGTAGTAATGATGTCTCAGGATAGGACAAGTTTCCAATCCATTGTTTGTAGGGTAACTGTGAGTCGTAGTTGACTCAGTATCACCTAACATCATCAACAACAAAATCTAGTCTATTTTTCCAGACACTGGTTTTTAAACTTTGTTTTACTGGCACAATAGTGGCTCTTTTCACTCTTGTTTTCCTGATATGGACAATGAGTTACACTGAATACTCAGGAAACGTAATCTTTACCGGTATAATTTTTGAGATTTCAATCTGCATTTAATCTCTACTGTCTTGCTTCAATGTTAATTTGGAATTAATTATTAACTGTAGTTATTACACATATATTTGTCTTGTCTGCTCAATTATATCCGAAGCTCGTGAAGAGATAATATTTTAGGTTTTCTTGCAGTCTTAATATGCCAGGTATCACTCTATATCTGATGTTGGAGCTTAATGAATGGTGTGGGCAGGAAATGAAGTACTTGGCATGGTAGCATGCTCAGTGAGCATACTCTCTCCTGCTGTTCTGTGCAAGTGGAATCTTGACAAATGCTTTAGAATGAAAGAATGGTAACTTAGGTCTTTCTGTGAAGTTCAGTGGTATGCTTAGATTGTCTTAGTTCTTCTATTTTTTTTTTTTTCTTATCACAAACGATTTCTATGACAGCTGAACATCAGCCAACCTTACCCCAGGATCTTGCCCTAAAGCAGCACCTACATCCTTCTCTAACAAAGCTAAACCTCCCTCCTCTGTCATCTCACATTCCAGGTGCATCGCATGCTCATGATCACGACTTCAGCCCTGACTTGCATTGCTTTTGTTCTGCCATTTATATACAGAGCAGGCTGGAGCCGAGTAAGTATATCCTAAACAAGATGTTTTCATATTCTCCCATTTTATGTGTAAGTAAATTGCTATTTTATTCTGAATTATCTGTTAACGTCTTCACATGGTTGGGGACCGGAAATAGGAAGGGTCAAATGCCACTGAGATAAAAAATGCCAAGTAGAGATTACTTGTTAATGAAATGTATTTTTAGGCTGCATCAAAATAATTTGTCTGCACTATAACTTTAGTTGTTCTCCTAAATTAGGAGTGGTGGTGTTGAGTTGATTCTGACTCCTGCCAACTCTGTGTGTGCCACATAGAGCTGGTCCTTAGTGTTTTCAAAATTGTGACCATGTAGAAGGAGATGGCCTGATCTGTCTTCCAGTGTACCTCTGAGAAGATTAGAACTTCCAGATCTTTTTGCCCAAAGACTGATATGTAGTTATTTGTTTCACCAGGCCCCTCATTTTTCCTCTTGGGTGGTAGAAATTGAAAGTGTGATATCTGAGGAACATGCATAATGCTGACTTCTGGCAGCTGCACTGTCAACCCAAAGACAGGCAGTTCGAATCCACCAGCTGCTCTGCAGGGGAAAGGTGGACAATCTTACCTTTGCCATTTAGAGTCTCTGAAAATCTGCTGGAGGGTCAGTTCTGAGTTGGTTTTGACTCGACAGTAAATAACAACATAACTATTATGATTAAAGCATAAAACCCCACTGCTTTCATGTTAACTCCAACTCAGTCTATCAAACTTTCAAGACTTTATGGGAGGAAACTCCCATTATTTCTCCCACAGAGAGACTGGTTGGGTTGAGCTCAGCTGTTTAGCAGCCAATGGCATTTCTGCTATGGGACTGGCTGTGTAAAATGCTTTAGATGTATTTTCAAGCTGAAGCCTCAAAGGAAGTAGATACTAATAATAGTACCATGTCACAAGTGAATAGACTGAAATTTACTGCTGAATGTTTAACTCTAGCTTAGCTCTCGCCCCTGCATTTATACTCACACACTCAGATGCCCTTTTGGGACCTCTACTTATAGCTTATAACACATTTTACCAAAAAGTGTTTGCAATTTAAGACTAGATTAGTGAAAGAGCTAAAGCTTAACTTCAAGGTCAGACTTGGTTTCAGATCCTGACATCATCACCGATTTCCTGGGGTACCTTGGGTAAGTTACTTGACAGCTCTGCCCCTTGATTTACTTGTCTTTAAAAAGGGAGTAATATGCTATCTACTTTAAAGACTTTTAATAAAGATTAAGAGCTAATAATCTTAAAGCACTTATATGAGTACTTACCAGCACATATCAAACATGTGGCAGAATTTTGGTTTTGGTGCTATTGTGTTGTTCTGGTTTTTTTTTTTTTTTTAATTAGCTAGAGGCACTTTGCATCTTCAGGGTACCAGTTTACCTGTGTATAATTGACTGGTTTGAAAGTGCATCTATAATGTTCTTTTGTAAGTTTTTTTTGGCACTGATGGCATCATCCTAGCGAATGGTAATGCTGAACCAAAAGGTAGCGCTTCTCTGGCTGTTCAAATCCACAAGCTGCCTGTGGGACATGGGTGAACCTTCTTCTCCTGTGCAGTTTACAGCCTCAGAAGTCACTGAAGGGTCAGCTTTGACTTAGTTCTGACTTGACAACAGGGAGTGATGGATTTTGCCAGTTTTTAGCTCTTATTTACATAAACTTCCTACTATGCTTTAGTAAGCCCTACATTCCTATCTCTGCATCACAGATCTTGGAATGAACCAGGCATAAGAATCATTGACAACACATGTCGCACAATAGAGCATCTTCTTAGTCCTTTCCTTAATTTCTTTACTGAAATCATTGTGAGAGGTACTCAAAATCAACCTTTCAAAGTTTTGAGCAGATGTGCAAAATAACTAAGTATACCAGAATCTGTTGGGCTAGATTTTCATCCTGAACAGGGCAAGGTAAGATTTTAGTAATATTGGACAAGTTATTCACTTAATCAAGACTGTTTTTTGAGTGGCTGAGACTGTGAAACACTGGGCTAAAAGGAATCATAGGTAAGTTACAGCTCAGGGAAGTATAGAGATCTAAATAAAAGATTACAACATATTGAGATGATGCTTCGAGACATGGGAATATCAGCTAATCTTAATAGGGCCGTTGATGGCTGGCCTGGTGTTGTGTTCATCAGGCATCCTAGTGGAGGAGAGGTGACATTCTGACCATGGATTCCACCGTGCTGTGCCACCTTGGACACGCTCTGTGATGTCTCTGAACCTTTGTCCGCCCATTTTTAAAGTAAAGATACTGATCCCCAGCCATCAGGAATTGAAGTGAGGATTAGTGGCAATGTATGTAAAGTATGTGCTGGTGTGTGTCTGGTACAAGTACTGGTATGTGCCATTCAGTGATTGGTAACTTTTATTATTGTAAAATATTTAAAGCCATGGGGAAAATGAAAAATTTTATGCATGTGTATTATTTTTAATTCTAGGATTTAAATTAATGGGATAGATTGAGACCATAAAATGATGTAATTTTGTGTAGCATGCAGGTTTTCACCCATACCTGGGATGCATAGTGATGGCTCTAGCAGTTCTTCAGCCTCTCCTGGCAGCCTTCAGGCCATCCATATACAGCTCAAGGTACATATTGCTTCTCTTTTTAAATGTTCTTGTTGTTCTTATGTGTTGTCAAGTCACCTGTGACTCATAGAGACCCTATGTACAACAGCCCTTAACCCTGCTTTATCCTGTGCCAAACTTACTGTCTCTGACATACTTACCCTGATTACCCCAATCACTGAATCAATCCATCTCATCGAGGTTTTTCCTCTTCTGTGCTGTCCCTCCACCCTCCCAAGCACGACATCCCTCTCCAAGGACTGGCCCCTCCTTGCAACATGTCCTAAGTTTGTCAGGCAGAGCTTCAGAATCCTTACCTCCAAGGAGCAGCCTGGTTTTCACCCTCTCCTGGATGAAATGGTTTATTCTCCTAGCAATCCATGGTATATTCAATACTCTTATCCAACACCACAGCTCAAAGGTATCAATTCTCCTTCTATCATCCCTAGTCTTTGTTCAGCTTTCTGATGCATAGCCAGTAATTGCAGAGGCCATGGCCTGGATCAGGCACACATTAGTCTTCAAGCTGACATTGTTACTCTTCAGTACTTTGGAGGGGTCTCTGACAGCAGACTTTCCCAAGGCAATTTGTCTTTTAAATTTCCTGAATTCTGGTACCAAAAGTGTTGGTTGTAGAGCCAAGCATACTAAAGGTGTTAACCATCTCAATCTCTTCATCGTCTGTCATGGTGTTGCCAATTGGCTCATTGGTGAGAATCTTTGTTTTCTTGATGTTGAACTTCAATCCATATTGAAGGCTGCAGTCCTTGACCTTCTGTAATAAGCACTTCAGGTCCTCCTCAGTTTTAGCAAGAAGGGTTGTGTCATCTGCATAATGCAGATTGTTGATG